CCGGTGTCCCGTTTCTTTGGCAAAACGCTGCCAGTTTCTCGAATTCGTTGAGCTGCCGCAAGTATAACGGAGGCCGCTGGATGTCTTGCTCGGTTAGGATACAGTTCGGTGTATCTTCTTGCAGCAATGGTAGTTTCGCCGCGGCACTCTCCGAGTGCCATCAGCATGTCGTAATATTCTTCGTTAGAATATGCTGCCATGTCGCTCTTCTGCCAATAATCGCAAGATTATTGGTTACAGTATCGATCTCTTCAACGCTTTTATACGATCATCGCGGGAGGTCCGCATGCCTCACCACGTACGCGTCGACCAGTAGGAGTATTAGTTCTATTGGTCGACTTTCCGTCTCGTGTAATATTTAGCGATGAATCGCTGTTTACACGAGAAGGAATTTTCAACATGCATAATATGCATGAGTGGAGCGACGAGAATCCTCATGTTACTCGGATAAGAAATTTTCAAACACGTTGGAAAATAAATGTCTGGGCTGGAATTATGGGCACAAAAATCCTGGGTCCTGTAATCCTCCCTGACATTTTACGCAGTGAATCATATGTAGAATTTTTGGCAGAAAACATGCCAGAATTCTTAGAAGATATTCCACTTTCTGAGAGAAAAAAATTTTTTTCCAACAGGATGGTGCTGGTCCACACAACGCAAGAATTGTCACCGATTATTTGAATAACCAATTTCCTGGGCGTTGGATGGGACAATATGGCCCGATACATTGGCCCGCAAGATCCCCGGATTTGAATCCATTGGATTTTTTCTCTGGGGATACTGCAAGGAAAAAGTGTATAAAAAACTTCCCGAAAACCAGGGAGAATTATACTTCAAGATACACCGAGCCATCTGGGAAATCGAAGACGACATTCTGCAGAAGATTTCAGAAAATTTGTTGAGACGTATGCGAAGTTGCATCGCAATGAACGGGGGCCACTTCGAACACCTACTATGAAGATTAAAATAAATCTGCCCTTTTCAGGGCAACCAAACATTTTGTTACGAGGAACATTTCTTTCAAATTGACAGTAATATTTTTTTTGAAAGAAAAATTGTTGAAATGTGCGAATTCCGCATTTAATATTCTAATGATTTATTAACACAGGATGCGGAAATGCTAACTTTGAGCCAAGCGTTCGCGCGTTCTGTTTGCAAGAGTTAGAAAATGCTGAAATTAATATACATTACAAGTTTATTCTTAAAACACGCGCGCTACTTCTACTGTAACATCGAGTTCGTGTTTGGCGTTCTAAACGTCATCTATCTTTATCGTTCACTACACGTGGAAAAAGATAGAATGACGCTTACAGTGCATAAGCGCCTGAACGCTTATGAAGTCGACCGAGTGTATGAAATCGGTCTTTCAAAGAGAGATGCGCATCGCGAGCCTACAGTTGCCGATCCTTCTCTCAGCCTTTCGGCTAAAGTCGGCTGAGCGCTGTGCGCGCAGTTCACGGAAAAGACCGAATGTTCCTATCAACATAGCGCGCACGTGGTCGAGTCACACGAGCGAACGACCAAGTTTTGCATCTACGGTCACGCGTTGTTGACATGACGAGTGGAACGACGGATGAAATCTTCTCATTGCGTCCAGACTTCTGATCGCCTTCGCTACGTGTGCAAGTGCTGTTAGTGAACTTATGTGTAACTGTTCCTTGCAATAAAACGAGCACGTGCAACGTTGCTGATAGCAATAGATAATCCCTGGAAGGAACACGTGTTTATTTATGTGTTTTTTCCAAGGATTGTCAGTTGCCAAACTATTTATCGACCGTGATTAATAGTGACTAACGGTGATAAAGTGCTTATTAGTGTTATCTTCCATTTGAAGTGTGCGTGTGAGTGAAAAATAAATCGGAAAAGAAAGATCGACGAACCGAATGTATTTGTGGGTAATTATTCAGTTTAGCTACCACACCTCCGATTTCAACGAACAAATATTCAATCGACGCGTTTTTTGAAAGCAAACAACTTTCCTATTTGGAAAAATCGTCGCCCCCTACTGTGAAGCGAGATATTAATTGACAAACTTGCTAAGTTTGAAGGTTAGGAAAACTCACACCGACGAAAAATAGCGACCGTGAACGAATTGGGACACTCGTAAGCCTCAGCTCGGTGGCTCCTGCTATCCTGGCGGCATGGGAGGTGATATTATTTTTAAAAAAAGTTGTAAAACGAACTGGGATGCTCGTAAGCCTCAGTGGGTCTTGCTATTCTAGCGGTATGGGAGATAATATTATTTTGAAAACAATTTAAAAAATGAGGCTTACAAGCGTCTCAGTTTGTTTTGAAACTTTTTTAAAAATAATATCACCACCCATGCCGCCAGGATAGCAGGAGCTACTGAAGCTTATGAGCGTTCTAGTTTGTTTCAAAATTTTGTTTTAAATAATATCACCTCCCATGCCGCCAGGATAGCTGGAGCTACCGAACTGAGGCTTACGAGTATCCGAGTTCA